AAAAAAAAAAAAAATCATTAATTTGGGTGCAAAATGTTGAAAAAGTTAGTTGGCAAAATGGTGAGTCATGAGGATAGACGCATCAAAATTCAAACCTAAATAAAATCAAGAGAAAAATAATAAATGCAACGAAAATACGGATTCTCTTTGGTTTCATCGTCACCTTCTATTTTTTTCCCCTCTGAATCTCCGCCCCCTCCATTTTCAATTTTTTCTCAATACCTTCCCTATTTAATCTCTCTCAGCTGAGCCCTTCATTTTTCTTATTCTCTCTCTCTCTCTCTTTTACGTACGGACATTCTATAGAGAGGGGTGTTTTTGTATTGTATAAACATGGCTGCCATGCTGCAAGCGATCGGAGTAGCATCACCTTCAGTTGCCTTCTCGGATCACTACAATAAATCCTCTGTTTCGTCTATTCGATCTTTCCCAGGTTTCAGTTTTTATTTGTTTTTTTCTTTATTTTTTGGTTTGTGTTCGTTTGTTTTGGATGTATTGTCTTATGTTACTGTAAAGATCCAAGAATTGTGGAAACAACGAAAAGATTGGATTTTTGGTTTATGGGTTAGGAAAATGATGTTTTATTGAGCTTAGTTTTACAACCCGAATTAGATTATTAAAAGATCCTAAATTATATTGAAGGAACAAACTTTTTCAAATTTGATTTATTTCTCTGTTTAATTTTTTGTGTTGTTTTTGTCAGTCATCAGATCTGGTTTGAGGTCCATTTCGGGTTCTGGTCATGGAAGCTTCAAGCCAGGAAAGGTTATTACCAAAGCAACTGCGGTCAGTGTCTTCTTTTTACCCTCTTAATGTTTTTCTTTTTTTATTTTTCTTATGTCTAAAATACTCTGTTCTATTGTGATACATGTGGAATTCATCAGACACAGACCGAGAAATCTGCTTCCACAACTTCAAAACCTGGGTAAGATTCTTATTGTATAATATGCTTACTTCAGTGTATTTCCATCTGTTTGTTTCTGCTGGTAGGCTTGACATTTTGATTGTGGCATGCAAATTTAAAAAGTTGAATTGGCTAGGATATGAAGAAATACTAATAGACAAAATTAAACTATACTACAATTTCAAACTTGATATTATAGTGAATCCTACCGCACCATTTGTCGAAGCCTAAAAAACTTTTGCCTTGTGGTTTGAAGATACTACTTTTCCATCTATATTGTATTTAAATTAGCACAGCTCAAGACTATTTTGTGATGGATGTGTTGGCACATTAATAAAATGCATTCCAAACATCAAAATAGTACGTACCTTTGTAATGCTCAAATCTCTATGAACCTGTAATGTATTGCACTAACACTTTAGGTGGTGTGTACGTCTAATGGTGATACTGTTAAGTGCAAGAACCTGAACACATGATTCTTGAACAAAATTTCATATCCTGCTCAGTAGAGTTATTTATTTAAGGTACGACATACTGGTACAGTCAGAGTCACCAATGTGACACAGGAAGAGCCAGTAACATAGGAAATCCTGAAAGTAGGATGTTAGAGATGGATATAATGCGGTGATGAGGATTTTTTGTTGGTAGGTAAAAAGCGTAGAGAAAAAGTAAAAATGCACTATATTTATGATAATGTAAGCATATGCCTATAACTGTGAGCATTAATGATTGGTATTCGCTTATGTTATGAAGATGAAGTCTTGGACATTGATGTTCTAGTGTGGAGGAGTATGGTTGTGTGTAACAACCATTTTTTGGATACATTAGGAGGCTTCAAGAGGAAGCCTTCTGATTTTCACATTTCTAACTTCTGAATTCACAAGAACACTTAACCTACCTTTCCCAAATATGTTTTGGCATTTTATTAAAAGGATTAGTACTCAATAATTTCCTCCCCCAAATCTTACGATCTACCGGTATCTTATTTAATGCAAGGTCCCATAAGGATTACAATGGTGGTCAAGATATTTTTGTTAATAAATTCTAGAAAGGAGGCTCTGCCGAATCTTGCAAACTCAGGAGTATCAAAGACTGCCATGTAGAATTTTTTATTGTTGAAATTTCCAATAGCCATTTTCAAAAGGCTGGTGCTTTTTAAGTCTAACTCGCTCTAGAATGGTGAAATTTGTCCCATCGAAAAGATTCTAGACTGTAATAAGTCAGACAGCGTGCACTTGTAACACTAAAAGAGGTCCCAACTGGGTGGATACGGGGTGGCAGCAGTGCTGACTGCTGAAGTGTTCTGTTTCTAATTATATTGTGATCTGTGTAGTGGTATAATCTCCATGTGTTATTTTATATGCCATATTGAAACCATGGCACACATAAGAAACGAGCTTTACTAAGCTGACGTGCAAAATCACGTTTATATGGTCTTTGGATATTGTTTTCTAAAACATGCAATACCACTCATGTTTTGTAACGTTTCTTAAGTCTGAATAATTGAATTCTTGGAAAAGTCTTAGATAATTATTTTACATGTGTAGGCACGAGCTCTTGCTGTTTGAAGCCCTTAGAGAAGGGCTAGAGGAAGAAATGGATAGAGATCCCAGGGTCTGTGTCTTTGGTGAAGATGTTGGCCATTATGGAGGTTCATACAAGGTTACCAAGGGACTTGCTGAGAAATATGGAGATCTCAGAGTGCTCGATACACCAATTGCTGAAAATTCTTTTACAGGCATGGGTGTAGGGGCAGCTATGACTGGTCTAAGACCAGTTATTGAGGGCATGAACATGGGATTTCTTCTATTGGCTTTCAACCAAATATCTGATAACTGTGGCATGTTACACTATACCTCAGGTGGGCAGTTCACTATTCCAACAGTTATTCGAGGACCAGGAGGGGTTGGACGCCAACTTGGGGCAGAACATTCGCAGAGGCTCGAGTCTTATTTTCAGTCAATTCCCGGGATCCAGCTTGTCGCCTGTTCAACTGTTTATAATGCAAAGGGTTTGATGAAGGCTGCCATCCGTAGTGAGAATCCTGTTGTCCTTTTCGAACATGTGCTTCTTTACAACCTTAAGGAGAGAATTCCTGATGAAGAATATGTATTGTCACTGGAAGAGGCAGAAATGGTGAGGCCTGGGGAACACATTACAATCTTAACATACTCCCGGATGAGGTACCATGTCATGCAAGCTGCCAAGACTCTTGTCAACAAAGGTTATGATCCTGAGGTCATTGATATTAGGTCTTTGAAACCATTTGATCTCTACACAATTGGAAATTCTGTGAAGAAAACTCACCGGGTGCTTATAGTTGAAGAGTGCATGCGGACAGGCGGCATTGGGGCCAGTCTTACAGCAGCAATAAATGAGAATTTCCATGATTATTTGGATGCACCAATTGTTTGTCTCTCCTCACAGGATGTGCCAACTCCTTATGCTGGGACATTGGAGGAATGGACTGTGGTTCAACCAGCACAGATTGTTGCTGCTGTCGAGCAGCTCTGTCAGTAACTTCTGCAGGAGTAGTAATGAGATCTAGTTGAAGACTCGTTTCTGTCTGCCATAATTTTTGGCAACGTTTCAGCCTTGTTCACTTTGTATGAGAATCTTCTTGTATTTTTGTTGCCATTTCATTTTTTTGCTGGAGCCAATGTTTCAGCACGAAACTTTGTTTGTTTAGTTATTTATTTTTCAATCTGAAACTAAAACATGAAGACTCATTACATTCCATTGTGTCAGTGACTCATAAAAGTGCCATTAAAGTTCTGGCTACTTTGAAGATGCAAGGCCAGAGGCCTTTCTCACGTTTCTACGTTTACATAAGAGTTAGCAGCATCTGGAGAAGGCTGTTGTTATTCTATCCAACATGTGATGTCCATATATGTCTTGAAGATCATTATTTTTCTCTCTGATACTTCCAATGACTTTTCAGTGAATGCGTTACAGCTGCTTAATTATGTGTCTTTTTAGCCTTACGATAACAGTGAACAGAAAGGAATGGCGAAAAGATTTTGTAGCCAACCTCAAATTTGTTCGGAACAAGGCTTGGTTTGATGTTTGTAAGAAGCCAGATAGGCGTTAATGGTGTTCTCAACAGGGGATGGGCAATAATGCTTCCATCAATTGAATTTGAACCCCTCTTTTCGGATTTCATGTCCCATAAATTTCTGATGGTATTTTTGTAATTTTTCAATTCCACTGCCTGTTTAACCTTGAAATTATTTCTTCCTTGACTACATTCATGGAACTTTTATCATCTGTCATATGCATGGAACATTCATTGTTCCATCAATCTCTTCTTTATGAATAAGTTGATGTACTCAAATGTTTAATGTCTAATGTAATGAAAGTAAAATGCTTCCTTCGGGTGCCCTTTTTTAATTTTTTTGTCCATTTGGACTGAATATTTTGGTTTTCTGACATACGTCACAGTGGAATAAATTCCCATTACGATGCCTTAGGAATGGCTTCAACAATCCCGTCTCCACTGGATATGTTCCCGAGAGTATCCTCAAAATGGGAAATTTTCCTCTCCCTCCTCCAGCCATTTCATTTCGGGTTAAGATATGAAAGTGCATTTATCTCTGTAAGAACGGTGCATTCTGAGATGTGAAGCGGGAGAGAAAAACGTCATAATTGAGGTTTTGAATTAGACGACCTTTTGGTCTTACATTTTTTCGTTGAAAAAGGAATAAGAATGAGAGGGTTAAGCTTTTACATCCTGGCTTCGAGCTATTTTTCCGTACGACCTCCCCTACTGTATCGTCATTGCAGTACAGTTTAACCACTAAGTTCAGGATGGATTGGCGTGGTTCCTCTACGCCTTTCATCTCTGGTCGGTTTGTTTCTCTACTTGTGGATGAAGTTTTCATTTTGCATAGCAATTTACTTGCCTTAGTCCCATTCTGTTTATTCTTACATGTTTCATAAGAATTAGTACCGGATAATTGGCAGTTCATAGGTTTATTTAGGCTAATTATCATTTTTCTCCATTAATTGAAGCCCATATCAGTAGGTATAGACTATGCGTTAGACATGTTTATATGCATTTGCCAAAGCTATACTAGTAACTGGTCATCAAAATATCATTTTCGTTCCTATACGGCTATACTCCTTATTTGGTTTCACATTGCCGGTTGGAGATGTCGCTCATTTTCATGCAGTCAAGTTTCCTTTGCATTTCCAGTGGATTCCTTTCAATTATCAATTGTGATGTGATGACGAATTTTGCAAGGCTGGCCGATACACTTCCTGATATTCTGTTCGCATGACGTTGATATTGAACTTTTAGCTGGAGAAACGCGTGTCATGTTTTCTGGTTCGTCTTCTTTCTGATATACTGAACTGATTGTTCAATATTATCAAATTCCGAATCATTTCTGGTTCCTGATGTTCCATGTCGAATTTGAACTATTTTGCATGCTTAATTGAACATATTGTTTGAGTAGTTACACACGTGGACGTGCATTGCACCAGGAGAGCAATCTTGCTTTAGCTTCAACATTTTTATATCTTTGTTAGTTAAGCTGTAATGTAAGATAGGTGATGAAAGAAATCTTTATTACTGTTTAAATGGTTGCTAGATTTTGAATGGTAGCAGTCATGTGGGTGACTCATGCAATGATGTCAAGCATCAGTTCATCAAGAATCAGCATATTTGACATGAACTTACCTAATAAATCCTCTTTTTCCATCATCATCCGACTTGTTGGTGACCCAACTCAAGATATAAACTCGGACCCGTTCTGAAATAGGATTAGGAGTAGCTTCATAATGCAAACCCTAAAACAAAATGTGAGGTCGGACGAGAAGCTAGCCCACCAAATAACCATTCTTGAAGGGGCAAGTATCACCTTTAACGTCAGTACCTCATCTTCCACCAGTATGAAAGAGTAATGATTATGATAGCAAATAATTATGACCTAGGCAACAGCTACATCCTAGGTGATATGATGACCTGACCCGCAGACCTCAGCGACCAATGAAAACTCTTCAATCGAGGCGACGACATACATATCGAGGTTAGAATTGTAGCTTGATGTGATGGAGGGTGGCCAACTCTTGGTTAAGGGCCAATAAATAGGGATATTGGTACCCACTTATGGCCTAACTCAATAAATTCCTAGTGATACACTTCAAACTCTCTTCAATAGAAATTAATCTTTTCTTTTACAAAATTTGAGCAATTACTCTACTGAAGTCATCTTAAGTTAATTTAAATTTGCCATGTCATTTTTAGTCATCAACACGACTAAACAACTCCATTTAGCAATCTCCGATTGAGCGATATGGGGTTTAGCTGAGAATTAACTCGGGTTAGCTGCACAAATATTGGGTATGACGTACAAGTGTAAGAAAAGTAGGTGTCTGATACTATATTTAGTAACATATGATCTTTTTCTCGTCCTTTCAAGTTTCTTAAAGGCCATGCTGATGCTAATGCTACCCGTCTTGTTTAAAATTAATTTCAAATTTAAGTTTTTTATTAAACAAAAATAATAGATTTATCATATTTTTAGAGAGAACGTAAGTTGTTTCCAATAAATTGGTAAAAAAATAATAATATTTACGAAGTAAAGACATAAAAAAATAATAAAAAAATTAAATAAAAAAATAAAAAGAAAAAATAAATGCAGCCTCGCCCCCACCCTATCATGCCACGTCCCGCTTTAAACGCTATGAGGAAGAGATAAGGTAAAAAAAATACCCGATGGGACGGGAATGTTAATGGCAGAACCGTCTCATATTCGAGTCGTTGTCATCCCTAGTATCACTTTGGGATCACGTGCTCTCCGGACTATAATATTCGATTTCAATCGAAAAATGCAATCTCTTAAGATACTAGTGCAACACTTACATGTATCTATTGTAAGATGAATAATTCAGTTATTATACATCAATAAAATAGGTATAAATAAATTAGGTTTTGAGAGTTTTGATAAGACAATATCCCTCAATAGAAGCCATTGTGATTGATCATACTCCATGAGTTAAGGAAAGAGGCGTGGAATGTGCTCTCTCCCCTTTTACTTTTTTTTGGTATCATTACACATAAGATAATTAGAAAGATGATGCTAATTGACTTGGCACATGCAGTGTTAGATGAACATCTGTCCACTTTATGACCATAAATAGTAAAGAGGTTAGAGTGGTTGGGACCCACCTTATAATTTATGATGTTATTATTCTTATAATAAGTTGTTGTAAATAATGAGAAAATTGTGATGGTTGAAGTACCTCTCTAATGGCTAATTATTGATTCTTTGAAAAGTGAAAAGATAGTAAGTTGAGTATGACGATAATGAAATATCTTTAGTCATTTAAACGTTACTGTACAACATAATGTCTAGAAAGTTGTGTCAAAGTCGAAAACGCAAAAATCAGAGTCAGAATAATCTTTTTTTTTTTTAATACCCAGGTGTTCACATTCGGCGATTAATCCTGGGGTTTACGTCCGGCCCCTCAAGACGCAGACCAGGTTAATCTCAGGATGTGTCCACAACTGGCCAGAGTCCAAGAGCTCCCTTCACTGATCTGTCAAAGTGTTAAGCGAGTCAACACATGTTGCACCTTACCTTCCAGGAAAACTCCTGCCTTCCAAGATGCTGAGTCGGAATAATCTTGCTACAACAAGAGGGAATTGAGATACAGGACAATGAAGCTTTCTTACTCCTACCACTCCGGAGACCTCGTCCCGAAATCTTGGGTGCTTGCAGTCATATTTAGCTAGTCCCTTAAGCTTCTGAAGTCGATATGAAAAGTAAACGCTGAAAAATTTAAATATATTCAAAAGTAACTTTTAATTTAACCAATTAGAATAAAGATTTAAATACTTTGTTGGAATGAAGAGGACCGTTAATATATAAACCTCACCTAACACTCAACTGTCAATTATAAAAAATAAGAAAGAAAGAAAAAATAATTAATTATTTAGGTAGATTAAACAAATTCACCATTAATATAATGAATATTATGATAAATCAAAGTGATGCTAATTTTTTAGTTTTTACATTAATATTTTTTTCCCTTGTGTCTCCTTAATGGAGTCCATTTTCCCTTTAGATGGACTATAAAAAAAATCAATAATTAATTATAATTTTGTAAGGATATCGACGGTTTTTTCTTTATAATTATAGGAAACTTAGGAGTATTTGTCACTTTTTTGCAGTAAAATATGGATCGTCCATTCTTGCCTAGATTCTTTAAATTCATGACAGAGAAATTTCTTTTCGTACTAGCTAACAAGTAAAAAGATACGAAAATAACGTCGTTTTAATTTTCTTTATTATCTTGGAATATTTTTAATATGATAAAATACAATATGGACAAAAACAAGCATGATGTTGATATGTTGAGTGGTCATGTTGCTCAACTCACATGGTTTTGCATTTATTGGATATGCATAGCCATGAGCAGTAGTAAATGAATTTTAAAAAAAATACAAAGTAGTCAACAGGTGGGGACATACTACTAACAACTCAAAATTACATTTTGCACCCTTATCTTTGTTT